GGTCCGTCCTCTTTTGAGGATCTAGTCATCACTAGACTCTTTCGGTTCGGGTAGTTTCTGTAGATCTGCCCTATACTTACGTAACAGACTTTGGCTTGTTGTCTTTGTCCGCTGGCTGAGATCTTGGCATCTGTTCTGATTATTTGTAAGGGAATAGAACTGCCTGATTTGTTATATTTCGGCATTTTTCCAGTCGTCATTTTGTCTAGTCCTCCGCCTCCGGTGAGGGGGTTTTGTGCTTTTTGGGGATGGGCTGTTTGGTTCCCTGGCTGCTTCGGTTTGAGCCTGCTTTCAGATTAAGATGGCGTGCCCGTCTCTTCTGTGGGCCTGGCTCCTCTATTAGATTGGGATGTGATGTGACGGCTCTTGAGGACTGTATGAAGGGGTGTTTCTCGGGGGTTTTCCTCTTGTTTGCTGGGATGGGTGGTTGGCGCCTTTGCTTTGTTTCGTTTAGCTCTGCTTAACGGTTGTAATCTTTTCCCGGGTGGTTTGTTTTCCAGATTACGTATTTGGTTTGAGGTAGTGGATTAATCTCTACTTTAAGGCGCTGGGGAGTTTTTTATCGTAGGACAGTTTTCGGTGTTCGGTTTTTGTTTCCGCAGTCGGGAGGTAGGCTGAGGTTCCTCTTTTGGTGGGAGGCCATCTTTTGCTGAGTATTTGTCTCGGATTTTATTTATCTTTCCTCTTAGACATTCCTTCCGTGGTTGAATCTAACTTGGGTCAGAGATTCCTTTCTGTTTTCTGTCTGTACTGACTTTATCCTTCGGTGGTTTGGGTTGTTTGACTTCGGTTTACTCTCTTGTTGAGTTTTTTGAGCTGGGTTGAGTGTAGTTAGTCTTCTGATTTGTTGTCTGGGTCTTCGTTTTTGGGAGTCTCGATCTGTGCCTTTAGTGATATATCAGAATTCATTGGTCGGATGGAAATAAATCTTTGAGTGGGAGTCGGGGTTTGCTAGGTCATTCGTCTTGTTTTTGGCTTCTTATAACCCTTTTTTGTTAGGTGGGAGGAAGGCTTGAGTTTGTGGCGTTCTGTTCCCTGCTTTGTTTGCGGTTTAGATTATCTGGGTTTTCGGCAAATACTGCTTTGTTCCTTGTTGTCTCTGTTGACTTTACTTGGTGGTGGGAATTGGTGGGGGGTTTCTTTTTTTTTTTCTTCCTTTGCTGTTGGGGAATTGACCATATTTGAGCATTTATTTTATTGCTCCCCGATTCGGCGTGGGATTGGGGGATTTGTTTTTTTTGATACTTTTTTCAGTTGTGTTCTTAGTTTTGGGTCATCACTACTTTGATCCTCTGTTGAAGTTAACTTTGTTCTGTTCCTTTTTTGGGGGGAGGATTTCTATTGTTGCGGGTTTCTTATTATAGTTGTTTTGACTTCGGATCATCTACTTGGACCTGACTCAGCCTGGTGATATATTATTTCTAGTGGGGGCTGGGCTGAGATTTTTGACGAATTTTCTCCTTCGGTCTGTTAAGGAAAGCTCATCGAGAATTGTTGTGTCAGGGTGATAGAGGGCAGTCGGCTTATCCGATCTTAGCGGTATTTTTGTGCTCTAGCGTCACTTGTTTTGGGGTTTGATCTTTTCCCTTTGGATTTGTCTTGAGGTGAGGCTCCGGTTGGCAATCTTTAGGTACTAATTATTCTTTTTGGAGTGGGAGCTTTGGGATTTTTGCCCGAAGTGGTATCGGTGGGAAATTTCTTCCTTCATTTGGGGGTGAATTTTCCCTCAATGAGAGTTCAGTCAGTCTTATCTTGCTCATAGTTTTGTTTGGTTATTTTTTTGTCTTATTAGTACTCTTTTGTTCAGGGAGATGTTCATGCTCTACGTGAGTCTATCGTAATAGTTCTAGTTGCTCGTCTCATCGAGGTTTAGGTCTTGTCTCGAAATTTGGATGTTAAGGTGTTATTTGTTTGTATGTTATATTCTATCCAGGCTCTATCGGCTGGGAAAGGGTTTTTCTTTTCTTCATAATCTTCTGTTAGGGGCCCTAAGATGTTCTTTGGGAGTGAAAGCTTCAGTTTCATTGTGTTGATTAAACGTGTGTTTTATTGTCATTTTGATTCTTCTGAAATTCTTGGGTTGGGTTATCTGTTTGGTAGTTTATTCTTTATCGTGTTAACAATTCTTCCGTGCTACTTTTTGGGTTGGGTGGTTTGAGGGTTTTCTCATTTAGTAGTATGGGCTCTTTGTTGGCGTTTCGGGAATTTGACAATATTGTTCTTAAGATATTGTTACTGGTCAGATCTGGTGGCTCATATTGCCTCCTATTCTTTAGATAGGTGTTTGGTACTTCCTTCAGTTTCTCCTTTAGAGATTCCTAATGTTTGTGGGGGCCTCCTAAAGAGATATTAGTTCTTTGGACTGTGTCCTTTCATTTATCACATACTTCTTGGGTGGATGTTGGTTTTTTATTGCCGTACGCTTAGGACTGTTCAACAACTCTTGTCTTTAGATTTTTCCGGTCTATGATTAGGTAGTGGAAATGAAATTTGTGGATTGACAGATCCAATAACATTTATTAGGAAATAGTCTTTCTGCTGATATTTGGATTGGGAAATTTGTCCGTCTCTTCCTCTCTTGATCTCTATGTCTCTTGTGTTTGGGTGATAATTTCCTTATATAAACTTATCCAAGTCATACTTTCATAATTGGTTGTTGTAGTTTTTCGACGCTTTCTTGGGGGAGTGGGGAGTAGTTTGTTGTTTTAGGTGTTGTCTTAAATAATTTTACTCAGGTGTGCCTGTTGGTCAACTAATCATTTTCTCCGACTGGAGTTATTCATACTTGCAGATTATGAGGATTGGATAGAATTGGATTTTCATGATTCTGTTCATTAGTAATAACATTTTTGTTAGTTGCCTCGTCTGTGCTGATCCAAACTGTCGTCTTGTTTGTTGGTATTTCGTCAATAAGACATTGGACACATTTAGTGGGGAATTATTGGACGTTAATCCCTTCCTGGATTTGATTTTATAATTTGGCTTTGGTTTGGTTAGACACTACTCTTCCATAGAGTTTTATACCCATGACTTATGGTCCTGCTTCAAATAATAGGAACGGAATTTTCGATTATATATCCTTTAATTCACACACTTCTTTGTCTGACAGGGGCATTGGGATTGGTGATGTCTATTCGTCAAAGGAAGAGTTTTGAAATTAGTCTTATCCTTCATATAATATTGTCTTTTGGATATCATGGCACCTCACTGAAGTTAATTCCTCATTTTATCTGTTGGTCAGTTATCATCCGAGTTGGGGAGTAATAATTTTTCTCATGGGTATGTTGTACAGGCTCCTTATTACTTGTGGAAGTTTTTCTGTGTCTTAGGATTAGCGCAGAATGGGTAGTTTTTTTTAATAATATCTGTAGTACATCGGTAGTTGTTATTCGGATTTAGATTTTGAACAGATATATAGAGTTTATATTAGTCTATTCTTTATATATTAATGCTACATTATGTATATTCCGCTACTCCAGATAGGATCTCTATTCATACGAAACTTTGGTATTCTTTGAGGAGGGATAAAGATAATGATACGGTTTGCAGGTTCATGATTTTCAAATCATAGTCCTCCGGGTATGTTTGCGTTTACTTCACAATGTTGTGCTTAATATATTGATACTACGAAAACATCCCCACTATTCACATAATAGTACTCTGGGAATGTTACCTTTCGGAGCGAATAAGTAATTTGCACACAATACTATTCCACACGCATGTGTACACTTCCTGCAACGATACTCTCCCAATCATGCAGTTCCACACATTATACGGCTGTAAATATAATAACACTCCAGGGAGTGCTATTAATTCCGGAATATGGTCCTTTTCCTATAATAGAAGCCTAGACGGTAGGCCATGAAGTTCCAAGGTTTTCAATAACTCTGGTCTTTCGATATCCAGAGTCCTAGCACAGTTGTGCACTCGAGGACCTCACACTAGGGAGATATGAGTACACTCACAAGACTACGCCGCAGATCATCCGTACGTTTTATACAATTATGCCCCTAAATGGACAGTACTTTGCAGATATCAGTATAGATCAACCATTAATACATTGATAT